CCCAGGTCATCCGACGCAAGAGAAATGGCCTATGCTCGTGAATCTGCCACATTGGCAACAAGATATGCAACATATTCAGAGACACAAGTAGTCAGTACCTTTTCCATTTGTTTCTGCATCCAAAATCAAGTTATTTCTGTTTTTCAAAGAAGTGACATGTAATATATTGTGCTACTGACAGTGATGACAATGCACTTGGTAGTGTTGTACGTCTCTCTAGCAAAAGCCCTGCGTATGACCTCCTATCAAAGATGCTAGAGTATGTGCTACCATTCAGAACTTTTGAAATCGTGCAATTTGGTATTCTTTTACTATTTTATGATGTCTCTTTGTACTTATTGAATTGGTATATAGTTTTTGACGTTACATCTTGGTCGTTTCATGTCGTCTTTCAAATTTGATTGGAATCTGGTTCTCCGGTTGCATATCTGTAAGTTGTAGATTCACAAGAAATTTCACTTTATTTGCAATAGCACTATAATACTATATCAATCACTGAAAAAAAATTGAGACAACCTTGAAGTTTGAATAATGGCAGTCCTACCCCTAGGAGTTGCCTTTGATATTTGCAACCTCGTCTGTGTTCAGATTTTTTATGCTTCTGTGTATATATGCGCCCGCAATGCTGTGTCTGCATGAGCATGCCTGCATGTTTGTGTGTATGCATATGTATGAGCAAGACATTGTGCACGTGCTTGCCTGCCTGCGTGTGCGAAGTGCTCAAGTATCATCTGGTCTCTCAAGCAATCAGGTAGATGCAATCTGGTTCTCCGGTTGCATATCTGTAAGTTGTAGATTCACAAGAAATTTCACTTTATTTGCAATAGCACTATAATACTATATCAATCACTGAAAAAAAATTGAGACAACCTCGAAGTTTGAATAATGGCAGTCCTACCCCTAGGAGTTGCCTTTGATATTTGCAACCTCGTCTGTGTTCAGATTTTTTATGCTTCTGTGTATATATGCGCCCGCAATGCTGTGTCTGCATGAGCATGCCTGCATGTTTGTGTGTATGCATATGTATGAGCAAGAAATTGTGCACGTGCTTGCCTGCCTGCGTGTGCGAAGTGCTCAAGTATCATCTGGTCTCTCAAGCAATCAGGTAGACGCTCTTATGATTTTTATTGGTGCAATCACTTGACTTGTTGGGTATCATGGAGCTTAAAGCACCATTTTTGGCTTGGTTTGCAATCCAATGTTGGTCTTTTATGATTCACTGCCTGCAGTTAACTAATTTGCTGTTGTCTCAATGTAGTACGTTGACTTAATATTGTCTAAGTGGATAACTCTTGTTTGCATTTTGCCTATTGCTAATTAGCTTTTCTCTATGTGCAGGTATGATCCTCAAAAGCGTATAACAGCAGCTCAATCCTTGGAACACGAGTATGACTTTTCTTAACATATTATCTCTTCTCGCTTTTTATAGGCGGTGCAGCGCGAGAATCAAAGGGAGTTGATGTGGTTATTATTGATGCTTTAACCAAAGCTATTCTTTGGCTTCCACAAACATGTTCTCAACTAAGATCTCTGTTATAGCCAAAAAATGAAAAGCAAAGATGTCTGTTAAGGACATGAATGGTCATGTGGTGGTAGTACCTCATTCATTCTGTTCAATCCCTGCCTATGAGGAACAAAACTAAGATCTCCATTATGGCCAAAACAAAGAAAAACAAAGATCTCTATGTAAAGTGCGTTGTAGTCAGCAATTTATATTCCTTCATCAGTTTCTAAGATCAACATCGGTTGTCTTGTAGGTATTTTCGTATGGAACCTCTTCCTGGGCGTAAGTAAGACTTTCTTCCTTGCCATCATATATCTGGTCCTTGATCTTCTTTTACTTTTAATGCCTTCATCTTATTAACTGACGAAATATGATTATGCTTAATACTTCCTCACCAAGGCACCTTGTGCTTTTGTCCTTCCGCAGTGCACTCATACCCAGCACACCTGGAGATAAAGTGAATTATCCTGCTCGTCCTGTAGATATGAGTACAGATATTGAGGGGACAACTAGTCTTCAACCTTCACAATCGGTATGGCTATGATAATCTAAATTTTACTAGTTGACCTAGAATTCTGCATATTCTCTTGAACTGTCTATGAGGATACTAGTTTGTCATAATAGTTCTCCTCTTTGTCATCTTCATTGAGCTCTTTTAACATCTTACTTTTGCAGTACTACAGTTATCAATTATTGCCGGTTATTCAGTCTTAAGTAGTTATAGCTGATCATTCAATGCTTAATTCCTCCTCTTTTTGCTGTGATTGAGACAATTTTTTTTCCTGTGTTACTGTTCTTAGAACTGAGTAAGTTTAATAGAATTTTTCTGTACGCATTTGTGGTCAGGCATTATTAAAGAGTTGAGAATACCACAAATTCATTGTTGTAATATTGGAGTGATTAGTGCTATCATCCTTTTAAGAAGAAAAACAAAATATCAAGGATGTAATAGTTTGTTTCTGAGATTAATATGATCTGTTTCTCTCTTAGGGTGTAATAGTTTGACTACAATTACAATGGATTTCAAACGAAGTGCTGGTCTTTTCTGGATCCAGTGACCTTCAGGCACCGATTGTTCATGGGTGTTCATCACTTATTCATACCTCTTGGCAGACTTGTTGTGGAGTTAGTGTCTTGCATTTCTTTGTGACTACGCGAGTCTTTTTCCCTAGTTGAATGGCAAACTTGATTTTGGCACTTTGGGAGATACTTTGCTGTTCAGTCAAAGCAATATCGTTCCACATGTATTTGAGTTTTAACCATTAGCGGCGGTGTCCAATGTTCTCCTTCATGGTAAGGAGAAGCAAGATAAAGAATTCTCATAATTTTCAAATGAGCGTATGTGTACGTGTGTACGTCAGTTCAACTGATATGGAACTGCGCAAGTGACCTCATTCTCTGATTTTCCATTAGGCATCATCTGGAAATGCTGTTGCTGGAAATATGTCTGGTGCTCATGTTGTGACAAATAGGTCCATGCCTCGTCCTATGCCTATCGGTATGCAAAGGATGCAAGCTCCAGGAATGGCTGGTTACAATCTGAATCCTAGTGGCATGGGCGGTGGAATGAATCCTAGTGGCATCCCGATGCAGCGGGGAGTTGCGAACCAGGCCCAACAACAACAGGTTCATTTTCTTGATTTGATCTTAGATAGTTATTTGGAGTTGCTTGTTAAGTTTTATCTGATTCATGCGGTTACTTTTCAAAGCAGTCTCGAAGGAAGGACCCAGGAATGGGAATGGCTGGATACCCTCCGCAACAGAAACAAAGGCGCTTCTAAGGTTGGTCCATTTTTGTGCATTCTTACCTAAATGCTAGATAGTATTCTTGCTTTCATATGAGAGATTGAACTTCATACTGGGGATTATTTTTGGCACTTTTGTGAGCCACAGTTGTCCTCTTGTTGCTTGAATGGCTGGAGAGAGAGAGAGAGAGAGAGAGAGAGAGAGAGAGAGAGAGAGATGCACTCTTTCTTTTGCTTGCACTGCAAATCATGCGAAGGAGATCACTTTTGTTTGACTTTGTTCTGCTAGGGTTAGTCGATTTTTACTTGCTCTTTTCTCCCTTTTCTAAAAGTTTTTAGTCACTCACTTTTTTCATTGAACTAGGGATCTAATTTACTGCAAGAAGTTTCGAGATCTTTCCAAGATTATGTTTACTCTAGTGATACTGGCTATAGCATCATGCCTGCTTTTGGTGGCACGATGTGAGGAACTGGATTGCATCTCCAGGAAGGAAAAGGAGCTATCGACTTCATTAATGGGCTCATCCTCTGGGGACTTGAGAGGCTTCATCGGCATTGGCTCTTTGACATCGGCAGGAGGGAATAATCAATGGACGTTCTGCTAAATGCATTGGAAGTTGATGCAGATTCACAGTGATAGATTTTTAATGGAGAAATGGATTCCGGCGTCATACAACTGGCAATCTATAGGGATCTGCGCCAATTTTTTGCTGAAGTAATAACTTGCTCTTCCAAAAATGTCGTCGATTATTGATTCACGAACATGTCTCCCTAATGTACAATAATTCTGCCTCTCCTTCTCTTTTTCCTGTCTTGCTTAGATAATAAAATTTGACTTAAGGAGTAGGAATTGCTATGAATATCTCTTCCGTTCTATTTAAGAACAAAACGGTCGACCGGCACGTAGGACTCATCTCCTACTTAAATCCTGGGAAGAGTCGTCAAACTTGATGAGCCGGTCGACAAGGCTGATGACAAGATCTATTGACCGAGCTCACTTCCTTTCCTGATTCTCCCATCTTGCCGCACTTGCCTAGTCTTCTCTCTATTCCAGCCATTGCTAGCCGAATTGCCATTAGATAAGACTGTCGAAACCAGAAGAGCGAACCCTCTCAAACTATTCCCATGAAAATGGTATCTGGCAACTCTTTCTTTCGCTAGATTTCTTAGTGCAAACGCGGTCAACGGAAATGGAAAAAGCATGATCTCATCCAGCGGAACACTATTTTTCTCTTCATCCAGTGGAACACTATTTTTCTCTTTTAGGTTAGCGGGCTCTTATAAATCATATCACGCGGTGAGGGATCAAAGGGGCTAGCCACCGCTTTTCTAAGATTTCATCGCTTCGTGGAAAATTAATAATTTCAAAAGCTTTTGTTCTAATTTTTTTTGTAACTGCAGAAAGATAATCTTTCATATGTCGACGACTGGGTGGCATATGCTTGTTGTGTTTTCTTTGGTATACGAGTGGACTTGCAGGGACCAACAAAGCATAGGGCAGGACCCTATCTCAACTCATGAACTATCAAACAGAAATCGAGAGATACATCCAAGGGCCGCCATCGCTGCAACCCACTCCGGTCGTCCGAGGAAGAGGTTGCTGCTTGCCACCACTACTCTACTTGTTCAATGTATAAAACACCTATTTTCCTGGAAAAAGAAAAAAATGTGACCACATTAACCACATACAGAAACCCGCCCACAATTCATAAGATTCAGCACTTCTATTACCCAAACAAAAGGAAAAACAAAAGAAGTATGTTACAGCACCCACAAGAAGGGAAGGAGGAAAAAAGAAGTTTTATTTTCTTGGTCATAATGAAAACAAGAAGAGAAGAAAGATCCATTCCAAGGACGTGAGTTGGGCAGGAGCTATAAAAACTTAAAATAAGACGTGCCATTTGATGATTGCTGACTTCATCCATTAGCCAAGTCCAAAAGTGGCCACAGCAAAGTGCCATATACATCACAATAAAAAGTCAGTTCTATTAGCATCATGATTTTGTCTGGAAAACTTGTTAGTGTATAATCTTGTTGAATAATTGAAATCTCAATGGATTCTGATGTAGCAGCACTCGGCGAAAGATCAAGATCATGTTCAAAGGGTGCAAATACAAATTCGGATGTAGCAGCAACCTTGAAACTTGTATTGCAAAATGAAGTCACAAATGGTCATGGAGACAAAGGTTGAAACTTGAACCCTTCTCCAAAAAAACAGAAGACGAGCGGCAACATGCTTGGAACGAAGGGCGTGCACACGCTCGAATTCAAACCTCATCATATTTTATGTTGCAGTGGCGTTATCCGCAATGAATACGTGCATGCAGCTGCACATGCAGAAGCGGACAAACATACTTACAAATCCTTCGCAACTAAGTCTGCCCATGACATAAAATAATATTAGAACCGAAACAAGCTTTTATGGAGGTTTGCATGGGATTCATCCGGTCAGCCGTGGTTCCAGTTGGGCTGTTCTTGGATAGCTGTCAGCTGCAGTCACGCGAGCCTCAGCCGAGCGGCTTTTCCGAGATACGACAAGTTTTAGGTACATTGAACGGATTACCCCATCTCTCCGGTATCGTCGACCATTGCATCTGTCAAACTCTCTTATTTATAGGACGTCTCCCTCTGTCCCGACACTTGCAATCCCTCTCCAATGGCGGCTGCAACAACCTCCACCACTAAACCCACACGGAGGAATGGCAGCTTCCCTCCCGAGTTCGAGAGCTTCCACAAGTTCTTCGAGTGCTGGCTTGCCGAGCAGAACCAGCACCTCCACGACCTCATCTCCGCCTCCTCCCCCGCCCGGGACGCCAACGACCAAGCCCTCCGCCCCCTCATCGACCGCGTCTTCCGCCACTACGACCATTACTACAAGGCCAAATCGCGGTGCACCAAGCAAAACGTGCTCCCCATGTTCTTGATGGATTATATCCTAATTCGAATTAGAACAATTACACAGATAATAGAAAAATCGATACATAAGTTTACCCAGGTTCACCCCAGAAGAGGACTACATCATGTAAAGGGATTTTACTATGATATTTAGATTTTCAACTACAGCCACTCGTTATAATGATCTCTCATATGGGTACAATATATAGGACTTAAAATGAGCCCAAAGTCCAAGTCTATCCGAATCCCTTTAATCTCACAACAAACGGGTCAGTTTAAAACACAAGTCTAAAAGAAAAAACCCGATGTTGTTTAGGGGGCGCTGCCCCCGAGATCCTGTCCGCTCACCACTTCCCGGTGAGCGGAACCCTCGCCCGCTATCTGGGCAGCGGGACCCCCACATTCCGTGCATAGGGATCATATATCGTCGGTTCATATTTCGATTTCCCTAAGCTCACGTGAGCGTGTCTGGTATGAGAAATAAGGGTCCCCGAAGTGTTCACCAACTCCAACAGTTCTCGCCGGCATGGAGGAGTTCGCTCGAGGATGCCTTCCTTTGGATTGGCGGGTGGCACCCCAGCATGGCCTTCCACCTTCTCTACTCCAAGTCCGGTTTCCAGCTCGAGGCCCACCTCGCCGAGCTCCTCCGGGGCCTCACCACTGGCGACCTTGCCGACCTCTGCCCTAGCCAGCTTGCCCTCATTGACGACCTCCAGAGGAGCACCATCCGTGAGGAGAAGGCCATCACCGAGAAGTTTGCCAAGCACCAGGAAATGGTTGCCAACGTGTCCATGGTGGAGCTCTCACACGCTGTCACGGAGATGAACCGCACTGCCGGCAGGCAGGCCGTGGCAGAGAACGAAACCGCGATGGAGGAAGAGGTGGAGAGCACGCTGGCGGCGAAGGAGAAGGGGCTGGAGGAGATTCTGCAGATGGCGGACGATCTGAGACTGATCACGCTCAAGGAGATTCTCAACATCTTGTGCCCGATGCAATCCGTGCATTTCCTGATTGCAGCTGCAGAGTTGCACCTGAGGATTCATGAGTGGGGGAAGAAGAAGGAAGAAGCTCAAGCTCAAACTTAGCTCATCATCATGAAGCTAATGCACCAGCCCAATAACACTAGTTCCAATACAGGTTCATCTTGCATAGCGGATAGTAGTCTTAGATGATTTCACGAATGGCTAGGTTTCTTTTTAAACTAATCAAGTGTCGCTAGGAATTAGGATGTGTTAGGTTGGATTTTACTTGGAAGAAGCAGTGTCCTATGACTAATAGCAGTTTCTGACTTCTTTTTGGGGGCGAAAGTTGTGTAATACTCTGATTACATGATGATCGTTTCTAATGATGTTGAACTTCTCTCCTCTTGCTTGTGGATGAATGAAAGAGAAACAGTGGCTGTTTAGCCCGTGAGTGATGTGAACATCAATCAACTTTGGATTTGAAAGTCTACAAAATTCTCGTCTTTGATTGACTTGTCTCTCTTCGTGGGTTGCTACCAGCAACTCTGATTTCTGAGGTGAAGCTATATAATGATCAAGATTCAACAAGGGTACACTGAAACAGGGTCTGAAAATTACTTGCCCCGAGTCATTCCACATTATTATTTCAACTTCGCATGTTTTCTGTGTCGTTTACTTCACTTCGAATCTTGATAATGTGCTATGCTATCCATCGCCACAAATGTACGAGGCACTTCATTCCTTGGACCATCCAAGTAATGCAAGGATGATGCCGATGATGTTGCCACTTAACAATGCCTTCAACAACCTTTGCTTCTCTGGCGTGTATGGCGGATACCTTGTGGTGGCGTCTCCTTTGAAACTTCTGTACAGTACTCCCTTCTTGTGGCTGAAAGCGTCGAAAGAAAATTTCCCATGGTACGCACCCATCCCACTCTCTCCGACCCCGCCAAAAGGAAGAGTGGGAACTGTGAGCTGCAACAGGGTATAAAAGAAATGACTAGTTAAACACACCATACACTAGACGCCTCCACCAAATGCCAATTTAGTCTAGGGTATCACTACACTAAATTGGCCCTTTAAAAGATACGCCACCGCCAAATGCGAGTTTCAAACTTCCCTTAAAAGACGATTTCGTTTTCTTAGGGAATTAATCTCACTAATTGAGCAGAATGGACAAGACATGATCTTGATGTGGCCACCAATAAATTACTTGAAAGCCATCAAAATACAAAATTGGTGTGGCGAATTGTAGTTACTTGTTAAATGCAGTAACGCATGAATACATGCCACTTAGGAGATCATTCATGCCGTCGATGACAAAGGCAGAGAAAGATTACATGCAGGACGGTGTCATTGATGAGCATTCCTCCGGCAGATATGTTCTGGACAAATTGCTTCTGCAAACCATCATTGTCGGAGAAGAGATATGCCGCCAGAGGCTTTGGCTTTGAGTTGATAATATGAAAACTGTCTTCTATGTCGTCAACCTTTCGATAACGAAGAAATGAAAAAGAAAAAAACAAAACCTTTTCAGCAATATGAATCTCAGTTACATCTTTTGAAAGAATGCCTGCGGATGGTACCTAGATGACTATGAAAGCTTAAAATTGCACGTGTGTATTTAGGTGTGTGTACATACACATACACACACACAGCACCATGACAACCAAGTAAAGGGTGTACAGAAATACGCACAGTGAGAATGGGCAGTAGCGGTCCAAATATTTCCTCTCGCATGATCAGAGAGTCTTCAGGAACATCAAGCAAGATAGTTGGAGCTATTCTTCTGCAAAAAGAAGGAAGTAATTGCGATGTGATTGGTTCATCCTGTGGCCTTGGACCAGCTAAAGTGTGAAACAGAGAGCACATATACTGGTCTCACAAGTTGTTCTCATCTCTTTGCCCTCCCAGGACAATCTTATCGGAGGTTCCATCCTCGTCGAGGAGTTTAGCCAAACGTTTGAAGTGATATAAGTTCACTATACGGGACATGTCTTGCGACTCCAAAGGGTTCTTCCCAAAAAATTCCTCTAGCGCAAGTTGTAGAGCATCCACCTGTTGACACACATTTATCAAAACAAAAAGCCCTTTATGCACATATAGAGATTTGCTACTTCGGTTGAAAAGGACAAGCTTACCAATTTCGGAGCAAATGACTTTGTTGTCACAATGTAATCGATAGCTATGCAAGCTTGCCCGTTGTTGCAAACCCACTTCCCTGCTAGCATTCTTCTTGCAGCAACCTTCATCATAAGAGAGCTCGGAAATCACATCCTTGGAAGATCGGTTCAAGCGGCAAAGTAGGCAATATGCTATTCTTTTTTTTACCTTTAAATCAACATTTGAATCGACAATAGCAGGACATTTTCCTCCAAGTTCCAGAACTACAGGAGTAAGGTGCTTTGCTGCGGCGGCCATGACAATATACCCTACTCTCGTGCTACCTGGATAAACCATTCGAAAAAATTTGAATTAGGTTTCATGAATAAACCTCTTGCCTCAGATTTTGCAGAAACATAAGATGAAGTTTTCTAAAGATGTAATTGGTATTTAGTGATTGCCGAACCACAACACCTAAATAACATAAGTATGCCAGACTGAAAACCGCAATTGCAAGATATATTACCTGTGTAGAATATCTTATCCCACTTCTGGTCCAACAGAGCAGATGTTTCAGGAACCGCTCCTTCAACTACGCTTATTATGCTTCTATCCACATACTCACTAAGTAATCTAGCAAGCAGTGAAGATGTTGCAGGAGCGATCTCCGATGGCTTCAGGACGATGGCATTACCAGCTGCTATGGCGCCAATTACTGGATCAAGAGATAGCACTGGACAAAAGAGAGCTTAGGTCATTCAAAGCAAAAAACAAGTACCATATCATGATTACGAAACCCAAGACATGAACAGTCATGCATGAGAGTGTAAATGATACGGGCTGATACTTTATCTGACATCATAGGATTCATAACTAAGAAAATGGGCCGAGCTGAGAAAAAAGGAAAAACATACTTACGAAGTGCGATATGAATCTCTAAACAAAATAGTGGAATAAAAAGAATGGCTCTAAGTATAAAAGATGCTAGAGTACTAAGTTATCCGAAGGCTGATTAATCTTTTTTTCCTCCTTACTTACAGAAAGGATAGTTCCATGTGGATATGATCAACACGACCCCAAATGGTTCCGATACTATTTCTGCCGATGATGGGTAGGTTGTTATCGAAGTGTTGACCTGAAAGTTAACTATCAATAAGTTCAACAATTCAACGATGGACAGAGTCTCTTGTTGCTTAAGATAATTGTACTTGCTAGTTGATCACCTTTTCTGGTGCCATCCAATGCTTCAAATCCTTGAGGGCCTTCTGACACGATGATTTTGTCATAGAGATCTGCATTGTATCTCGTATTTGGCAGGACGTAGTTAGTATGTGAGAAGAGTGAAGCACCATATAGCAGATCGTTTGCACGAAAAGTTCTTTAAAATCTGTTGATATTTGACACAAAAAGAACCAAAATATCCCTTAATCGGTGTTATGGATATAGCATACTAATCTAAGAACAGCAATGTGTGAAAGTAGTCGAAAATTCAGTAAATGCTTCGCATAAACTTCATATCATCATCAACTTGGACGTTGGCAGTCTATTATTCATCACGAAGGTTTCATACATCCGTTTTTCAATTGGAAGGGACAAAAGAACGAAACTATTGACTTGACTGATCACGTTGGAATATTTCTGCTGGACGACTAGCGATTTGAACAACGAAATTCTTTATAGTAAAAGCAAAGTAGGAAGAAACCACAAAGAAAGATAAGAGAATGAAACAGAGTGGTTGAATTGTCAATGTAGAAACCACAAAAAAAAAATATGCATATATATAGAGATAAGAGAGCTCAAAGCAAAGAAAAAGTAAATGATGCTATTTTGACATATGAAGAATACCTCGGACACGAACGCTTCCAGCTCGGGCTTGGAGAGGTCGAGCTGAAGAGCTTGGACGATCTCTTTCTCCCTCTCATCAATCATCTTGCTTATGCTCTGCAACTGAGCAGCCCGCCATTCGTAGCTCTTCGTCTTGCCCGAGTTGAAGCTCTTCCTCAGCTCCTTGACCAGCAACGCGGCTTTTCCAGCGTCAAACGCTTGCTCCTTCTCTTCCTCCATTGTCACCGACAAGACACTCGCTGAACAGCTTCCAAAGGAAGAGACAACTGATTACAATGCCAAGAAACAGAGAGAATACTAGAGAGAGAGAGAGAGAGAGAGAGAGAATTGTGAGTACCGGGAGATTCTGAGAGAAGCGTGAGTGAAGGAGATCGGTGATGGGTTGGCGCGACTCATAGGACAGTATGCGAAGGTTCGGATTGTTTGGCAGCTTCCACCAAGTGCACTGTTTCATAGGAATCACAAACACAAAGGAGACAAATGGTTAGACGGATCATTTGGCTTTTTCTCTTTGCACGAAATTACTTCTCTGTTGAAAAGCACATAGAATAATGCCAGGTACAGTATGATTAGTTTACAAAATCGATATAGTTAAATGACGTGACAGATTTTAATTGACAAGTGAATATGGATCGCCAGTGTAAAGTCACTCGCATTTTGTCACATCGCTTAGTAAATTAGTTTTGTCGATCAGTCTCGGTAAGTTCAAGAATGAAAATGAAAAAAAATGTGATAATAGTGAAACATGAAAACATGTGCACCTAGACATGAAAGAAGTCTGGCCTAGTTTTCGAGCAACACAACAAAAAAGGAAGGGACACCAGAAGTCTTTCGTATTTATGTATTGACTTGCATGTGTTAAGTAGTGAACCCATTTTGGTTTTGGCATCCTTAGCACTAGAAAAAAAAAATCTTTATCAGGTTATTTTATTGATGAAATATACATTCCCACTTCATATGAATGATATGGTAAGATATATTATATGCACACATTTTAATACATGCAGTTTATTAACTTTATGACAGGTATAATTTAATAACCAAAGTGAAAAAGAAAAAGGGCTATTACTATTAGCAACTTTTAATGTTTTAGAATCACTTGCTGAGGCGGCCTTCGGTCGATCGAATCATCAAGAACTGGGCTTCAATCTAAACCGCAAGTGCCAACATGCAGTCGTAGGTCATCGCTTGAAGGTTTGTTGCTTGATAGTTGGCATTCTCTTCTTCCAACCGTCTTCGAACTCTCAGCGAGTGATGACTAGGAATAGGTGGCGTTCAAGAAAGCAATCTAAGAAGGTGGTGTGGTGATCTCACCACTCCACTGAACAAGAAAGTAGGTTCATTTCATCATGGAAGGACATAACAAACTGCACCCTTCAAGACTTTATCCATATTGGGATCGATTCTGTCCACTCAAATGTCAAGACTCAAGAAGAGCCCGTACACTCGTTGTTTCATGCTGGTGGAATCAAACGACGGCCCAGAAACTCAGCCGCTGCCCTGTTCGTTCGTCCCACCGAAATTCGTTGGATGCAGTAAAACCATACCAATTCCAAGTGTGTTCAGAGAGAGAGAGAGAGAGAGACAGAGGGGAGGGAGAGAGAGGAAGTTGTATATTCATGACCCATTTAAAAGCTTGAAGCAATCGAGTGAGAGTGATTATGCCTGAAAAAGAAAAGAAAGCAAGAGTGTTTACCTGAAATCTTGGGAGAGATTGATGGAGGAAACGCTTTTCATCATGGCCATCATCTTCTCCCAAATTGCATGCTCAATAGTCTAAGCTACTTGAATATCATCTGGAGTTGAACACACAATAGACTCTCTCTCTCTCTCTCTCTCTCTCTCTCTCTCTCTCTCTCTCTCATATTTTTCACTTTCTGTTTTTTTCCTTTCGGGAACCGAAAGAGACTCCATAAAGTCCGAAGCATTCATTCATTCCTGGCCCTTGAAAAGGTGAGGATAATAATGCTCTCCCAAAGACTCTTGCAACGTACCGAACTGCCTTTCTTAGGTGGGACCGTGAACTGGGATGGTGGTGATTGCTCGATGGGATGGTGGTGATTGCTCGACTCGTGTCAACGTTCGAGTTCGTAGTTTGGAACCCAGCAAAGTATTCACCGAATGGTCAAGAGTAATATCCTTCTGTAAGGACAGGAATCATCTCCCAGCTAAACTTCATGATTTGGTAAACTGGCTCGCGGCATTTGAATCTTTTTGAGATGAAGTTTACGAGACTTTGCTTTGAACCTAAGTTTTTCAGCAAGATGGGGTCAAGATTTGAACTATCTTAAGATTAAATCGCTTTTGAAATGATCGACCCACATAATTGCAGGTGTCTGTATGATATCGTGCATCACTGGCCATATTCAATTATTCATAGGTTATATTGATCATAATACACATCTTGTAGTTCAAGCATTCACTAAGCATAATGGGTACGACATTTCACACGCGCATCACTAATCATGATCAACATCTTAGCAGCAAAAAGGGAAACAAATTCATGGTAAACGTGTATAATAAAATTTACATTGGATTAAAGGCCAAACAGAAAATTGCACCCAGAGAGAGAGAGAGAATGTGTACATTTTTTGTCACTTCAGAACAACAACAGGTTATCAGCGTGGTGGCATTGCACAAAGAAAAACTACGAAACGTCAGTATTTACAACTGGGGGCGTATGTTAGCAAAGTCCAACATCGCCTGGAAGTAGCATTAGGTTCGCGTAATTTTTGGAATGGCTCTATCCTCTGTCCTTGGCAAGATATTATGAAAATTGCTGATCGTCTTGCCATTGAGGTCAGCATCCAAAAGAGAATGGCTTGGTGCTTCTTGGATCGTCAAAAGTACGCATGACCAAAAGCCTTGCGCTGCTGTAGCCATCACCGAGTAAAAATGCTTGCACGAAACTCCAATGCATTCTTGCAGATGTTATAGGGCATAGACATTGACAGGATTTTGTATGAGGAAGAGAGGAGAGGAGACGCTGAAGGAAGGCATCTTCATGTTACGACAGACAGCACCTCAACTATGTAAAAGATGGCCGGCAAAATAAGTCAGCACCACAGGCCATGCACGCCGTTCACTTTCTCCTGTGTTACGTGTGGCCGACTTCTGCTGGAGAATTTGTTTACCAAACACAGGAATTTGGAGGATGGAAATGGACCTGCAAAGTAGCTCTTTCTTTTAACTAAAGCAACCGGTGAACCAAGCAGGGTAGATAAATATAGAACAACTGGAAGTTTAACCAAAGAATATTTATGTAATGACCTTATACTTTTCATGCAAATTAAATTACCACAAGACTATGATGCTAAACTTAAATGAGTGCCTGGCATTATGCCGTGGAACAACAACGGCCGCCTGATTTGCCCAGAGAGCCAAATACATCGCGGAGGTTCACCAAGAAGTCCTGCGTCTATCATTATAATTTATTATCTCTATAAATTTTTCTCCATCTAACACCCCAGACTATTAACTTTTAATGTGTATAAAATGTCAACATATCTATCAGTACAATCCAACAATTAGTGGTAAAAAAGACTGACTTCTGAAACAAGACATCCTTGATTCTTCTACATGGTTTTGTATGATTCCCATGGAACAATGGCTTCACACCCAATGCAACAACTACATTAAAAACGTCAAAATGGGATAATGACCCTTGAACTTTCATCTGACCTCCACTAACCAATCTCATAAGGCTAACATTTCATAATTTTACCTAAGATCATGACTGGGAAACAAGTCCAGAATATTTGATCCCAAACTTAATAAGGACAAGGCAAATTCTATAGATACAATTGGTGTGGTCACAACTATACAAGAGGTTACCGGATCGAACAAATACACAACCCAAAAAGCAGGACAATAATCCGTTTCTCATAGCGAATCAGTTTCAGTCTAACAACTGCTAGACGCGCATGAGGGCCAATGCAGCTGCCAATCCTCGAATTAAACGCAATAGTTCAGCTTTCCTTAAGAGCCATCACACAAATTACCTATACTAGATAACAAAACACAGGGCTTGCACCTAACGTTGTATCTCACATTTTTGCACTGACCTTACAAGATCATAACAAAGTAGCACAAGAAAACAACATCCTAAGATTAACCCCCACTAATCAACATAGCCTCTACGACCAAGTAACCCAAAAAAACACGTTTGAGCATCATTAAAACAGAAGAAGTCAATAAAGAAGAAAACTTGCCTGTTCTACGCGAGATAGAAGATATCATCAGTCATGAGAAGCACATACTGCAGGATCCTGAGCGGAGCATTCCCAAAATTCAGAGGTGGCAATCTCAACTCTCTGACTCTACAATCCCCACCAACGTTCCTATCGCCCGGGCCCCGACCCGCCCGCTGCATCCGGACCCGGTTCAAATCCACCTTCCTGAACAAATACACAGAACTGTTGCCATTGCAGTTGCCATCGGTGCCGCCCGGATCCGGGTTCTTCCGGGTCTTGAAAAGGGTCCACCCATGGCCAGCCAAAGCCCTCGAGAACCCATCCATCGACTCGATCCTCTCGCCGCCGACCCGCGAGAACAGGGAGACCGAGCAGCAATCCCAGTTCACCACGCCGTCGTGCGCCGATTCGCCGTCCGCGCGGGCCAACCGCACGAACACGAGCTTGAAGAGGCCCTTGGAGAGGGAGACGAAGGAGCGGAGGGTGGCGAGCGAGGCGGAGGAGAGACAAGGGAAGGGGAGAGAGACGGCATCGTTGGGGAACAAGAATGCGGAGGGCGTGAGCGACGTGGACGACCACGAGGACGGGAACGAGGACAGTGGGGAGGTGGAAGAGGAAGACGGCGACGGCGACGGGGACGGGGACGGCGACGGGAAGGTGAAGACGAGGTGGGAGAGCGACGGGGTGGGGTGCAGGTCCATGCCCATGTCGCGGGCAATGTGGGCGAGCATGTAGGTGTCGGTGACGAGCTCTCTGGTGGGGAGGAAGAGGAGGAGCGGGGTTCTTGATTTGGGGACGGCTCTTGTTCTTGGTCTCCTCCTCCTCCTCCTCGATCTTGATCCGGGTCTTTCTTGAACCTCACCGTCGCTTCCCCCATCCTCGTCGCTGCCTCCGGAGAGGGAGCTCTCGCGGCGGGAGCGGCGGCTCTGGGATCGGGACAGGCCGATGGCTTCGCCGAGGACGAGAGACCGGACGAGCTTCAAAGGAAGCATCTTTCGGCCTTGTAAAGCTTTGTCAAAAACGGGGAATGGAAGCTTTGTCCCTCTGTCCCTGTCTCTGTCGTCCGCGTCTCTGTCCGTGAGATGCGTTTGCTGTTGTTCATGGGAGGAGTGTCTCTTCGGACATCGGGGTCACTTCTTCTTCGCTTTTGCTTTGGACAAGGGAAATTGAATGATTCGTGGTGAGGGGGGGCCAGTGAACTTTGACCGCCCAACCACGTTCCTCGCAAACCAACGAAGGAATGCCTTTTACTAAAGACAGTTCTTGCCTGTGCTGCTGTGGAAATTATGTTGCTCTGATTCTCGCTTTATTACCAGATCTCTCCGCCTACCTTCGTAGCTCGGCGGTCGGCTTATTCTTTTCGTGATCCCAAAATTGAGATCCGCAGTAGCAAATCTCTACGTAATTTATGGATCGGGTACATCTTTTACCGTATTTCGAGAGACTTGTTATTTTTTTCCGATTTGTCGGCAAGATAGGAAGAACGGGCTTGTTATCTCTCGACCCGCCGTCACCTCTCGCCATCGGTTTTCTTTCCGAGACACCCGAATTAGATAAAGGGCACCTCTTGTTAAGCGACGAAATTCGGAAAGTTTGCAACTTGCAATATATTGAACGCGCAATCACTTTGTTAGGAAGAGAATTATCTATAGATGAGTCGCCCCAGGAGAAATTACTAAAAAGGCTTGTGCATGTCTTCAAATAGGGAAAATGACGTAAACAGCTCATGAACTTTGGCCTGATGTGCAATTTGATCCATGAACTTTTAATTTGTTAAATATAGTTCCTGAACTTTAGTCTAATGTTCAATTTGGTCCATGAACTTTTGGTACATGTTCAATTTAGTCCATGAATTATATGAAAATGTTCAATGTAGCTCCTGAACTTGAATTAATGGAAGGACTACATTGAACATTTTCATATAGTTCAGGGATTAAATTGAACATGTACTTTTAAAAGTTTATGGATCAAATTTTACATTAGGCTAAATTTCAGGGACTGCATTGAACAAATTAAAAGTTCAAGGATCAAATTGCGCATTAAATCAAAGTTCAGAGACTGTTTGTGTCATTATTCTCTTCAAATATGTAAGTGAAACGTGTAAAAAAATCTCCCATAAAGTGTAAGAACGAGGTTGGATACAGTAGAAAAATAATTAAAACAATTTCTTCCTAATTTCAAGAAATATTAGGCTCTAGGAGTTGAGGCCCACAACTGAGCAGAACTCAGCCCAAAAGAAGGTCCAGAATTCATCTACGCACTTCTTCTCCCTTTTAGCATTTTCTTCGTCGTCTCCGCGTCGACCCTCCCCTCCAAGAAACCCTAGCCAGCTTCCGCCTTCTATAAAGACTCCTCTCCTCCGTCGTCCCTCTCTGCAACTCGGCGACCCACCTGAGCCCTTCCTGATCCCGTGGTGGCGATGTTTGGGTCCTTCGAGCTTCCCCCCTCCCTCTCTTTCTTCCGGCGGCGGCGATGTTTGTCGGAATCTGCAAACTCCCGAGCGCCGTCCGCCGCGTCGGATATGGTTCCGATGTTAGCGTTCGTGGGTAGTGGGGAATTGGGTTTATGTCGGTCTTTCATGTGCTTGCTCGTTCGGATGTCGGGCTTTGGCTTAGCGTAGTGTTCTGTCGTGCTCGTTGTTGTGGCTTTTCGTTGCCTGAAGCGGGGATTTCGAGCAAGCCGCGTGCTTTTTATGGTTTTCGAGTTTGGAAATATCGTTGGATTTGTGAGGTCCATAGTGGTTGTTCCGAAGGAATTTGTTGGTGGGCACTTCCGTCTTGGGACTATACGTCTGCCCCTCTAGCAGGGAAAGTTTTTCGATTGCTTTAGGGATGAACTTAGTCCCTCACATTGATTTTTGTCCATCTGATTCACTTTGTCAGCAAGTCGTGTTCTTTTAGTCAGCTGCTGATCATTTTAGGATGGAAAATCTCACCTTGAGTTCCATTTTTTTCTCATGTTTTGTCTAGCGCTAATACCGATCCTTGCGGCAGAACGTATGCGATTGATTTGTTTGTGTGTGTGTGTGGATTAGCTTGAGGGTTAATGTTTTGGTCAGCATGAAATTGCTCTGGAACATGTCTCTTGCGTCGATGATGATACATCCAAAGGCTTGTTTCTCAAAGAACATTCGCAGTGGCCGCCTAAGAGCTTTCGCCTTTGCCGGGCTTGAGAGCTAATGCTGCTACCTTTCCTTCCTTGGATGTCTGAGACTATTACCGTGGAGCTTTAGTTTCAATTGTCTGACAGTTGGATAGGATTTTGTATTTGGTTAGTTTTGTAGCAGGTGGCGCTTCTCATTTCATATTCTTGTGTAGGTGTGATTTTTAATGATGGGGTGGGGGGTTTTGTGAGTATTGTGTTATGTGAATGTCATGCTGCAGTGATTATTTTATCGATGATGACAAACTTGAAGGCTTGTTTCTCAAAACATTCGCAGTGGCCGCCTAAGAGCTTTCGCCTTCGCCAGGCTTGAGAGCTAATGCTGCTACCTTTCCTTCCTTGGATGTCTGAGACTATTATAACGGACATTTAATTGCATTTGTTTGACAGGTGGAATAGGTTCTTGAATTTGCTTAGTTTTGCAGCAGTTGCCTTTCTCATTTCATGTTGTTTCATGGTCATGCTTTGTAATGATGGGGTTGGGGTTTTTTTAGAGTAATTTGTTATGTGAATGTCATGTTAGCGTGATTAATTCATCGATGATGACAAACTTGAAGGCTTGTTTCTCAAAACATTCGCAGTGGCCGCCTAAGAGCTTTCGCCTTCGCCAGGCTTGAGAGTTAATGCTGCTACATTTCCTTCCTTGGATGTCTGAGACTATTATCGCGGACGTTTAATTGCACTTTTTTTGACAGTTGGAATAGGTTCTTGGATTTGCTTAGTTTTGCAGCAGTTGCCTTTCTCATTTCATGTTGTTGCGTGGTTATCCTTTGTAATGATGGGTTGAGGTTTTTGAGGATAATGTGCTATGTGATTGTTATGTTAGTGATGAGTATTTCATCGATGATGACAAACTCGAAGGCTTGTTTCTCAAAACATTCGCAGTGGCCGCCTAAGAGCTTTCGCCTTCGCCAGGCTTGAGAGCTTATGCTGCTACCTTTCCTTCCTTGGATGTCTGAGACCTGTTTACTTGCATTTCTGTAAGCTCAATAATTTGCTTAACTCGAGAGTAGTCTTGTTAAGGGGTAGAAATATATATCTGCAGGTCTTCTAGTTATATATATATTCAGCTCCATCTGTGGGTGATACATCCAAGCGCATGTTCCGCAGTGGCCGCCTGAGAGCTTTTGCCTTCGCGGGGCTTGAGAGGTAGTGCTGTTACATTCCTTCCTTGGATGTCTTGTACCTTTAATCTGTACATCTACAAGAGAATTATTGGAAGGCGGACATGTTGGTTTTTTCTTGTTTAGGTTTTGTGGTTGGAAGCTGCTTAAGTTTGTAAGAACGGGTTATCTTTGTGACTGAACTACACACTCAATAAAAACCAGAGGCTTCTTTCTCTTCACGATATTTGTTCATCATTAATACCAAAACAGTTATTGGAGGAAATGTTTTTATGCACGTATAAAACCATATCGATCCCTAAAATTGAATATTCTGGTAATGTTAAATGGCAAAAACCATAGACAGAATTTGATATATTAGATACAACATTATTACCATTTCTTTTGATTGAAATAGTCTTTACCGTTACACGTCTCTTCTTGTTAATAGTACGAATGATAACTCCCATTTTACTTTTAAGGTTCCATTTATTTTGCGGAAAATATTATGTTTTTGGAAAGTATTTTTAAGGAAGCCATTTTTCGAGAAAATGACATAATTTTTCTGTGTTCGATTGAAATATTTTTGGAAAATAATTTCTGTTGTTCGATATGGAAAATATTTTCCTCCTTGCAATACTTTTAATATTTTTTTAGTTTTAAAAATATTTTTAATTTTCTTTTCTTCTTCTTCCTTGGCTGGTCGTCGGCGAGGTTCGAGCTCACCAGATTCCGTCAAGGTCGAGCCTCGCCATATTCGACGAGCTGGGCAAGGCTTAGCCCGAGGTCGCCAAACGTCGAAGAGGCTCTGGCGACCTTGGGCAAGGCTCGAGTCTCGCCCAGCTCGCCGAATCTGGCAAGGCTCGAGTTCGCTGCATCAGGCGAGGCGGAGGCTCGCCACTGGTCGGCGAGGCTCGACCTCCTCGGAATCTGGTGAGCTCGAGCCTCACCGGCCTGTGGCGAGGCTCAAGCTCGTCTGTTGCCGGTTACCGGACGAGAAAGAACAAGGAGAAAAGAAAAAGAAAAAGAATAAAGATAATTAAAAATAATAAAAAAAATTAGAATTTTAAAAAAATAAAATAAAAATAATTATAGTGAATGATGAAAAGAGGAGGAGGAAAATCAAAAAGAGGAAAACATTTTTTATGACTAGCTTATCTTCAATGAAACAAACACCGAAAAATTCGGCAAATGTTTTCCTGAAAGTTATTTTTCGTGAAACGAACGGAGCTTAAGGGCCCCGTTTGGCAACGTGCCAAATAGTGAAAATTTATTTTTTTTATTCTCAGAATTAGTTTGTGAACAAAAATTCGTTTGTTAAATTTTTGTGCCCGGGCACAATTTTGCAAAAAATTGATTCCAGAATTAGTTTTGGAACAGAATCAAGAAGTTATTCTGGAACAATTTTTTTCGGAATCGATTCTTCTTGATTTTCTTCTTTCTTTTTTATTTATTCTTCATCTTCTTCCCGACCCACCGTCGGCCCGCCGCCGGCGACCGTCCACCGACGACTGGCTAGGGCCGGCGAGGGTGGCCCTCGCCGCCCTCAGCGACAGCGAGGTCGGCCCTCGCCGCCCCTGGCAACGGCGAGGTCGGCCTCGCCAGATCTGGGCAAGGTCGAGCCTTGCTTGGCCATGGCGAGGCTGACCTCGCCGTCACAACCGGCGAGGGCCGCGACGCCCTCGCCGGCCATGGCCAAGGAAAAAAAATAAAAAAAATAAAAATTTAAAATATTATTAATAAAAAGAAATTTTGTGTAGTTACCGAACGCATTTCTGTTTTTTTTCTATTCTAAGAATAGAAATTTTGGACAGTTACCAAACGTCTTCAAATGCTTAGAAATTATTCCCGGGCACAAAATAAAAAAGAATCATTTCTGACCAAAATTCAAAATGATTGTCATGCGCAACCTAAATCACCAAAGATTTTTTCACTCAAACAAAGCGCCGCAACCGAAATCGTTTTAATCATAACACCCGTAATCAGCAAACATGACCCGTTAAGCTATCAAAGTTGAGTAGACATAATTAATGGGTGGGCCTAGACAGGGCTGAACCTCAGAGCGACCTTGAAAAATCATTGCTCTTCTTGCCCAATAATGTTATAAAAGAATAGTGAATTCCTATATTATTGATCCCGAAAAGGAAATGGCTTGTCATGTTGATAATTCACCTCCATCTTTCTAAAACTACCAACTCCACAACACAAAAGACACCATAAGCTAATGTCGCCTACTGCAAGCAACGCAGGAAGAGCCACAAAGTTGGTCACATGACAAGTTTAAGGTGACCACCTGTACCTTAAAAATATCTTGGTCGAAGGATCAGCAGTTACTGATGCTCCTGACCATGAATCATTCCCACTCTGTATCATCCATCCAAATACAGAAAGACTAATCAGAATACTCGCACCCAGCCTAATGATCTACCACAAGAAATAACTCATATTGGACTCCAAGACGATATGTTCATACAACTGATCAATTCCAGATCAAGAATGAAGACAACAGATAATCTTGAGCTCCGATATCTAATTACATGGTTCCGCAAACCTACATTTGCTAGGCAGCTACATTATCTTCTGATTTGACTTCACGTTGTATGTGTTCCATGCGTCCTCGATGCCCAGATCCCAAATACCAGAAACCAGAAAACAAAGAGGATGGCCCAATATCGTGCCGGTCCGTACTTGATTCTGGTTAGTACAAACTGCAGAATTCATTCAAAAGAGAAGGCAGAAAACCTAGAATCAGCAGACAGTTTCTGGATTAAGCAAGGTGTTGAAGTCAATAAATCAATAACAAGGTCAAGGCTGTTAAAGCTTTGAACGGTTCTGCCAATGATAGATGCACTTCTTTGGACAAACTTTAGCAGTTGCCAGTTAAGGCTCACCCATAGAGAATTGTACTTTTCAGATTTGAATAAGTGCTAAAAAATTACAAGTGGACATTGACCATTGGAAATTTTTTATCAAAAGCGTTATGAATATGCATTGACCATGGAAATGACCCGTGGACCATGGTCATTGCCCAGACTTGATCACGTTTCATTGGACAAAAACATAGAAACCATTACTAGTGCAATCATAGATCCAGGTTCCAGAAACTAACTAAAGATAGTCAAATAACTCGATAGCTATTGAACATTCAGCGAACACAGGGAACTGGCACTCTTTATTAAAGTTTGAATCAGACGGCAGCCCATTTAAACCACCAAGAGGAAAAGAAAAACAAAGAATCATCAGTGGAACAGATGGACAGAGAATGAGGCAGCTCTTTTGCAACTGGCGCAGATAATTGAACAGAGGGAGATTACGAAAGCAGAGGATATTTCTAACCAAGTGAATCCACAGACCCTCGTTAATGACTGTTTTCTACGGATACATTAATATATAACTACTAGTCATTAAATCAAGACTTACGAACTACAAGAGCCAAACAAATATGGATCTTGAGTTTGTTATCTTCAGGAAACCTAAAGAAGTTTTCTATACAGTTCTAACCCTATTAAAATAGTAATGAACCTGTACTTCTGTCTTCTCAAATACAAACACAATCAATGTGCACAAATATGCAAAGAATAACAGTATCTAATCCACTTACAAAGCGGAAGAAGACCACGACTGTCAAGGCGCAAACGCCACCCAGAAGTATATGAAGCCCACTTCTAGCAGTTTTCTGCAAATAAGAGTTGACTCTGTTCTGTTAGTTCACAAAAGAGGATTTATGGAGCAAAACTGATGGCCTATGGAGCTAAAAGAATTGCATTACGTTATTTAAGTAAAGGAATTAGCTGCTCAAACATTGGCTCAAAGCCTGAAAGAATAGCTGCATAAATACAAAGCGAAGTCTTGCATAATAAGATAGAAAGATAAGCAGGTCACTCTCTCCAATTTTGCAACGCTTTTATCTGATTCTCAATGAATTAAACATTGTTAAAGAATTGCTAGAGTAATCTATCACAGCATGATAACTTTTTCAGATTTGTTCTTGTCCTTTAGCAATCACATCTATCCCTCCCAGATTACTGCGGCATCAAACTAGACTTACTAAGTTTTTTCTTTTCTTCTTTTCCTACATGAAGATCACAGCTGGGTTAATTATTGGAGCTGACTTCCTTCCAAACATGCTAGGTTCCAACAGTCTAGAGGCATATGTTTCGAAATCACCGAGCACTAGATAATGCATTAACCAGGACCATGTGATACAAAGGCAGTTTAAGCGAAAAGTAAGCAGGCAAAAAGATGCTCAAAGCTAGCATGACAAGTAGCCTACCTTTCCAACTCGCGGAGCTATAAGCCATGCAAGAGTAACAGTCAGCAATCCTGTAGCAAGCAAAATCCCAGTACCTTCAACAGCCCATTTTGTCGCAGGATTTTCAGAAGGGCCATTGCCATTGTCTTGATTGACAACAGTTGAAGGCTGCTCAGAAACAACTTGCGAACCAATGTTACTCTGGTTGTTGTTGATTAAGCTATTGTGGTGTGGGCTAAACCACAGTGAAATTTCGCTGAGACGTTGCCTACGAATAGCAGCAAGAGCATCAGGATCAACAGTCATACCCATATTCAATGGTACAGGGTTCGGTTCCCCACTAGCTGTTCTTTCCCTTAACATTTCGTAATCCTTCAAAGAGCCGACAACCTTTTTGAAATCAGCAATCCTTATGTTTTTGGCAACCTGTCCGCAGATTTCGCAAACAGTAGATCCATGGTTAACAAACCATTTCAGCGCACAAGCATAATGTACTAGTGCAAGATCGTTTTTGCAAGAACACCCGAGCTCTAGCAACGAGTCATGATGGTGGCCCATTTCCAAATCAGTAGCACAAACAAAAAGCTCCCCTTCAGGACTAATAACCTCGATAAATTTAGAATCCCTTCCGGCATTTTTTGCATGAGAAAGATCACTCTGGACATTGAGAGTGTTTGTGTCACCATCGCTTTTTTCAGGTAAAGGCGGAGCAATACCCAAAAACCCCAATGCTGTATCTCCCCTTCGGTCAGATTCAACACATTGGCACACACGACAAATTGGCAAGCCCCCTTCCCTCTCCCAACTATGACGGGAGGGAGTTTCTGAATCATCACTGTCATTAGATGAGCAGTGGTCACTCCTTACTTCAACACTGCGGGTGGTCGGAGGGAGATCTTCTTTACCCATGGTATAAGGCAAATCAGTTCCTTTTGATGTTTTAGACCATGCTTGCAACTAATATGATGACTGGAGTTGAATCTCGTAGTGCATTCAGGTGTGCAATGAAAACTTCCCGCGTATGCAAGCCAATAAAGAAAATGGAACTACCAATCCAGTGAAAGATAGGCAGGTCAGAAATACCGGAGCACTAACTGCAAGAGCTCAAAGCTTTCAGCACAATCCAAGGCTTTTATTAATGCTACAAGCTAGGAGCTGCGTATTCAGATTAAGAAAAATAAATTTTTGATCCCACT